TACCATCGTATAATTTTAGAAACTAGAATTTCAAAATGTAAAAACCCGGACATTTTACTATATACCCCGGACAGGCAAAAAAAAAGTCAAATTTTTGTCTTATGACGTTTTTTTATTAAACATATATGATAAATAGATATGCCAACCTATCTAAATAAAAATAACATACGAAATTTTAGAAGAACAAAGCGTTGCAAAACAATTCCCAACTGTATTTGCCACCTGTTTAAAAACGGATATTTCCTTTTTGCAGGCTCGTCATTAAAACTACATTTCTTTGGGCATTTTACTATTTTCTGAAATATGAAAAAACATAGAAATTAGGTTATACAAAACTACTATTATAGACTGATGGACTATCGTTTAGGTTTATGAACGATATTGAATTTGCTTAGGTAGGGGACGATATTATATAATAAAGTTAGGCATTCATATACCTTTGTAATTTTTGTGGAATGTTCTGAATCCTGCTGGCACGCGCACGTTATCCGAAAAACACGAACGGACAAACAAAACAGAGAACAGATGAGTTAGGGTACTCTATATATAGACCGTAAACTGATCATGTTGACGTCATTGATGGTTTGATTTATCAATATTTTGATCAAAAGTTTTCTGTTTGTTAAATCCCGGACAAATCAAAAATGTTCCCCGGACATACCCCGGACGCGCAAAAAAAGAGGACAGTGTCCGGGGAAAAGAGGACGGATGGCAACGCTATCTGCATATAGGTGATGTTTGCATGTATTTATGCAATTTGGTAAGTTAGCAGTGTATAGTGTAAAATAAAGGGCCGAGTATGGAGCCCTGTGGAACCCCCGAATAAATTTTCCTTTCTGACGACAGTGAGTCTTGAATTTTTACTCTTTGAGTTCTATCTGTTAAAAAGCTAGTTACTAATTCCAACGCGTCTTTACTAAAACCAAAAAAATGTAAGATTGAAATTAGCAATTCGTGGTCCAACATGTCAAATGCCTTAGAATAATCTACCACAACATTAACAGTGAGCATGTTGTTATCGGTTGCTGTAATGATATCGTCCACAATGCATGATAAAGCTGTAGAACAACTATATCCAGTCCTAAAACCCGACTGCATAAGCGGTAAAATGTCGTTTTCATCCAAAAATTTCCTGATTTGTATTTCCATTGCTCTTTCTAGCAATTTGGATAACACTGGTAGAATGCTTATAGGTCTGAGATCTTGTAATGTGCGAACATTTTTACTTTTAGGTAAAGGAATCACGTGTGCTACTTTCCAAGCATTAGGAGAATAGTTTGTCTCAAGGCAGCAATTAACCACATGCAGTAGATAAGGCGACAGAAAGGGCAGACAAACAGTAATCATTGAATTACTCACCCCGTCAGCGCCTACAGAGTTTGTCGTAATTTTTGAGAGTATCATAGCAATATCCGATTCACTAATGAGAGTGAAGCTAAAAGGATTTAAGTCCTTGAGTTTACAATTTGTATTATAAAAATTTAACAATTCTGGATCAGGTGAAATTTTATGAGCGGTAATAGAGTCACAAAAATGGTCATTAATAAGATCAGGGTCATTAAAGTCAGAAAGCAAATAATTTGTTTTGTTTGGGAAAATGTTCATGTCTCTCAGTACCTTCCATAAATCGTTTTTATTTTGCCCGGTCGCAAACGTGTGGAAATAGTGACGCTTAGATTGTCTAACAGCATTAGTGCATAAGTTACGAAGTCGCTTGTATTCATTCCAAGAGCTAGTATTTTTGTCATTTTTGAACTTCGACAGACTTTTATCTTTTGAATGCATAAGGGCTTGTATATAGTCTGTCAGCCAAGGTGTTTTTGGTCTAGTAAGTCGGACTTTCTTAATAGCATATTTATTAAATAGATATAAAAGGTTATCGCTTAAAAAACGTACTTTACATTCCACATTTCTTAAATTGAACAAACGATACCAAGGCAAGACCTGTAATTCTGCAACGAATTCATCATATTTAAAATGTTTAAAGTCGCGATATACTTTATATGTGCTTTGCTTCGTGAGATGGTTACATGATAACGTACACCAAACGAGTGAATGATCTGAAACCGCATCCATAGGCAAAACACCGCACTCCTTTAAAAGATCCGGATTAGAGAGGATAATAAAGTCAATAAGAGTGCCCTTTTTTTCTGTCACCATAGTAGGCTCTGTGATTACCTGCATACAACCATAGGTATTTAGCAAATCTAAAAACTTTAGAGATTGAGCGCTCTCATCCAATAAATTTATGTTAAAATCACCAACACATATTAGATGCTCGCAGGCAGGAACCATCAAAGAAAAGGTATCCTCCAACGTGTCGCAAAATTCTGGAAAATACAAACGGTTAGCTCTGTATATAACTCCAACTGCAACTCGACTATTACGAATTGTTAGCATTAACCACAGTTGCTCAAAGTAAATATTACTTTCTGTCTCAATTATTGTAAAATTTAGGGTATTTCTCACATAAATACCTAACCCACCTCCAACCCTTCCTTCGCGATCCTTCCTAACAAACCTATAGCCATCGATATTATAAGCATTATCACAGATATTTGAATTTAACCACGTCTCCGATAAAGCAATTATATGGTTATCTTGAGTCGCTACATAATCTTGAAAGAAGTCAAACCCAGTGTTCAGTGATCTGATGTTAAGGTGAGAGATTTTTAAAGACATCGGCTAAGATAAAACTGTAAAAAAATAATGCAACATTAAAACATACACGATGACTCTACAAACATTTCAATTCAACGCAAATTTATTTTATAGATTACACGATGCAAGAAAACAACTTTTTATAAACAAGAAAAAACTAGTTATTATATTTGAATTAATAGAGATAAAGAAAGAAAAAGCGTTCGCTTTCAAAAAAGAAAATTAAAGGCCAAAAAAAAAAACTTTTATCTTTAATAAACACCGCAGGAACGTTGGCTAAATGCCAGATGCACACGAGATTAGTTCGGATTTGTTGGAGACTCCTTTTTCAAATTGTCTATATCGGCCGCACAGTGTATTGGATGAACTTTGTCTTTCACCTTAGCGTAGATGTTACCATCACGAGACCAGCAATTACGGAAACCTAACACGTTTACTGCTTTAGATAACAGCAATTGTCTATTCTTTTTTAGGTCCTCTTTAATAGTAATTTTAGAACCTTTAAGAAGCTTACGGCTCATTATCACTTGACGTTTGGCGCTATGAGAGATAAATTTCACAATAATGGAACGATGTTTATTATCTGCAAAACTATCCGGTTTTCCAATTCTGTGGCAAATGTCTATATTATTTTTACCCACATTTATTTGTAA